TTACCCGGTTGAAACCATCGCCATACTTCATATTGCGGTACGGTCTAGGTTTTGCTTGTTGGTTAAAACCCATTTCATTTCCCTTTTACCCTGTTGAAATCAATCCCCTATTTTGTATTAAGGTACGGTCTAGATCTCGTTGTTTGATTAAAACCCTTTTCTTATCTCCCGTGTGAATGTGTTTGGATTGTATCCTTTGTTATGCTTCATATTACTTGTTGCATTGCATTGTAGATCGTGAATTTTCAAAACAAAAATGGCTTTGTGCATTGTGTAAGTCCAGCTTTCAAATTGTATTTCAATTGCATATCATTTGCATTCTGTTTCTGAACTATGCTGGTTTGATTCCTTGAAAATGGATATGTAAGCAACCCTCGAGTTCAACCAACTGGATTTGTATTTTGTTTGTTTGCCCAAGTCTTACAACCTTGTCAAATGGGTCGTCTTTGGACTTTAACATTCACTCATGTCAAGAAAATGACTTTGAGTTCTGTCCAAAAGGGGCAACTGTAGACACCCCATGTTAACCGGCCCTAAAACTTGGGCACTTTCTTTTGATTACCTGATGATGAAAACCAAGAATGTGTTTATCGCATAATTCTCAGTAAGAAAGATGGAATTTGTGTTTCATTTTCAAACCTAAGCCTATTTTGGCCAAGTGTTCAAATCCCGTTCAAAACTCTCTTTCGACACTTTTTTTTCGTGTTTTGTTCCAAATATTTTCGTAGTATTCCGAGGCTTACTTTTAAACTTCAAAATGAAACATTTTCTCAAGGAATTGAGCAAATAATGGTGTGAAAATTGGAGAAAATGACCAAAACTCTGTCAAAAAAATCTTGTTTCATGAAAATTAGTCAAGCCTGGCCATTGTTTTGGCCGGCCAGCCAAATAATTTGGCTGACTGGCTAATTTTTCCAAAAACAAGGCAGCTTCGGCAGAATTGTTGATGAAAGCGTATGGATCTTGCATTTCAGATATTTTCTTATTATATTCGTGCACTAGATATATCTAGGCCCTCTCCATTATCATCATTTGTCCTCCATTTTTAAAAGGAAGATTGCCATCTTCCTAAAAGATGGCATCCATTTTCAACCACCCTTATCACTCTATCAACCTTGTCTCCTACCTCCTTGACTTTACATTCCATTGATTATCTATATAGAGAGATAGAGAGACAAGAAAAAAGATAAAAAAGAATTGAATTGAGAGAGAAAAGAGAAAGTTAGAGGCAAAAAAGAGAGAAATGTTAGTTTTGAGCAAAAACATAAACACACGCTGATATCTCACCTTTCCATACACCAAACCATTCCATAAATTCTGAAATAGCCCAATTCTAGTAGTTTTGATCAAAAAAGAGTGAGTGTTGTTGAAATTGAGAAAAACAGAGAGTTGTAACTCTCCCCTCCCCTCCCTAAAAAAAAAAAAAAAATAACACTGTTAAACTACCCAAAAACACCATTCCAACTAGAATTTCGAAATTTGAACATGAGAATTGAAAACGTACTTCATAAGCTTGAGGGTAATCAAAAGGAAGTTTGGAAATCAAATCCTTCCTTGGAAGATAAACTTTGCAGACTTTCTATTTTCTTTTTTCTTTTTTTCTTCCTTTTTTTTTTTCTTGTATTACTTTTCTTATTTTAATTTCATGTTATAAACTTGTTGTAAGCTAATTGAAAATGGTTAGTTGAACCACTTCATCTTTGCCGTCTATTTTTTTAGTTTTTGAAGCAAAACAGAGTTTCGACCTAGCCTTTTTGGCAGCTTGGGGCCAACGTTTTGGCTGACCAGCTCATTTTTTTGCTGGTCGACCCCTTTCTCTTGGACAGAACTCCAGCAGCCTCCCGGTGTTGAACAAAATAGTCTCTAAAGGTCTCCAAGGCCCCCCTGAAGCTGTTATTTTTATGTTAATCAGAGAGATTGTGAGGTTTTAATTTTTCTTGTAATAGTTTTTATTTTTCCCTCTATTTTGGATATGCAATATTCAAAGTTGTAATAATTTTCTGCCCCGCTATTTTCTTTTTTCTTTTTTTCTTGCTTTTTTTTTTTTTTTTTTTTCTTTTCTTATTTTAATTTCTTTTTTTTTCTTCTTGTATTACTTTTCTTATTTTAATTTCATGTTATAAACTTGTTGTAAGCTAATTGAAAGTGGTTAGTTGAACCACTTCATCTTTCTCGTCTATTTTTCTAGTGTTTGAAGCAAAACAGAGTTTCGGCCTAGCCTTTTTGGCAGCTTGGGGCCAACGTTTTGGCTGACCAGTTCATTTTTTTGCTGGTCGACCCCTTTCTCTTGGACAGAACTCCAGCAGCCTCCCAGTGTTGAACAAAATAGTCTCTAAAGGTCTCCAAGGCCCCCCTGAAGCTGTTATTTTTATGTTAATCAGAGAGATTGTGAGGTTTTAATTTTTCTTGTAATAGTTTTTATTTTTCCCTCTATTTTGGATATGCAATATTCAAAGTTGTAATAATTTTCTGCCCCGCTTCTTTCTATCCTGTTCTTTTACATGCTTTTTATATTCTGCAAATATGCATATTATTTTGCTTGTCATCACATCCATGCTTTGCATCCATGTTTTATGCCCTAAGATCCGGCTAAATTTGCATCTACGAGTTTAATCGATTATTATATGATTTTGTGTGCTACCTCATGTTTTGAGATGATTTATATGTCATATGTTTTAGAAGTTGAATTTGTAGTTGTATTTCATAAGTGAATTGCATTAGGATCTTGTATATAGGATCATGTATGTTTTTACTAACTTTTTTTTGTACCTATTTGTGGGACGTTAGTAAATACATGAGTTTTTATACTTTAGCATCCTGCTTTTGTGTGTTTTTCTTATTATGCCATGCATTTTACCATGCGGCTATTTGATTAGTTAATATATGTTTATGATTGCCGGTGGATGGATGTTGTGTCTCTCAATTTGGAACAGTATTGATTTTTCATGTTCGTGGGCTCAATTTAATTATGACCTATACAAATCTCAAAACCTTTTCAAAATGCATAAAATCAAACTGTTCCAAAATAGATGACACAATCTATATTTATTTGCTTCACATAGTAATTTTAAAATTTGATAAATAATCAGAATATGAACACATAATGGAAATAAAAATCATATCATAATTAGTAAATGCCGATCTTTTGATTGGGTGAGTATGGATGCTAAATTAATGACCTTCCCCTCCTATACCTAAGGTTCTGAGCCATGCTCATTGGTTACGACGAACAGTGGCCTTGGCACGAGTCACGGATTTCCTAATTCTCCCCAAATAAATATTAGGTGGCGATTCTGAGATCTGATGGCGCAATCCATTTCTGGCAAAATTTTTTTGCAAAAAAATGGATTTTCTAAAAATTGTCAAATCTAGATTCTCATTTATGTTTCACATTGCATTTCCAGAGAACCGAGGATCCGAACTGTTAACGCACGCGAGTACTCCCCGGGCGGTGTTACCATATCGTTAGGAATTGTTATTGATTTAATAATTTATTAATAAAACTAGCCATTTGTTATAAAATTAGAAACTTTAAAGGACAGAATGTAATTCGCTAAATCATAGGAAATAATTTATATTTTAAACAAACGTTAAGGAGAGTATTTATAATTTATCCAAAGTTTGAATAACAAATCTGACTAAAGTAATTTATTTATTTTTTTATTACATAGAAATTATTGAGTCGAGTGTTAAATGATTTAAATCTAACTTTAAAATTTAGAGCAAATTATAAATACATCTCTTAAATTTTGTTTAAAATGCAAATTATTTCTTGTGGCTACTAGAAATTACATTTGGCCTCTTGAAAATTTTAATTTCATAACAAATGACTCATTAATAAATTATCAAGTTAATTAATAGTTCTTAATGGTGTCAAATTTTGGTTTCAATTAATGATTCAGGTAATTTTATTATTTATAGGAGAACAATTAGAAATTTTATTTTTTCATTTAATTCTGTTAAATAAAAAATTATGATAAAGGAGTATTTATAATTTTTCAAATTATAATCTGTGTTTTAAGTAAAGGTTGTTGGGGTTTACTTATTTAGTATACTTTTAGACTTTTTACAAAAAATAAAATAAATTATGTACAAAAAAATAAAGACATAATATAACCCAAATATATTTATTAAATAAGTATATTTATTTAGTACATTTTCAAATAATTTTTAAATCCCAAAGATGTACTTTTAATTTACTCCAAAAAATATTCAGCGTGTTTGGTTTCAGTTTTCTAAATTAAATTTTTTGAGAATTGAGTTTTTTTATCTTTTGTATTTTTTTATTTTTTGTGAATATTTTTAAAATTTTAAGCATTTTTTTTTTACTTTTTTAGATGCACCTTATTTAGATGTATCTAAAAAGTAAAATATTTGTGTAAAAATATTTTTAAAAATAAATAAATACATGAAAATATGAAAAATATACTAAATTTTCATATTTTTTTTTATATTTTTGATATTTAAAAATTCACAAAAATTATACTTTTTAAGTATATTTATGTTTGTTTTTCGAAAAATTAAAAAAATATATATATTTAAAATATTAAAAAAAATAAGAAAATAAATTTTTTCAAAAAGTATTCTTAAAAAAGTAAAACTAAACAAAGAGATTAATTTTAAACTTTATTTAAACAACGTTTTAGTAGCTTGTTTTAAATTTCGACCCTGGGCCACGTTGTCAATTCATAGACTGGTCCACCACTTCTTTGGGATGTCGGCGCATTATGCCAAGTGCTTCTTCGTTAACTCTCCGCGTACGTGTAGAGTCGCTTGACCCATAACCCAAATTAAACCCACCCCCTAAATCCCAGTAATTATAATATTATCCTATTTTTCGAAGATTAGGGGTTATTTTAAGTCAACTATCTGATTACCTGTCACCAAGGACCACGCTACGTCACATTAAGGTATTTCCCGTAAATAGCACCAAAACAATGAGGGTATTTTCAGAAATTGAACTCCATAAATAGCGCACCGCCCTCATTAGCTGAACCAGATTTAGCTTCCTCATCCCATTTTCCATTTGTAGTATTCGCAGAAATAGAAACTCTTCACTTTGCTCTCTCTCTCTCTCTCTCTCTCTCTCTAAGCTCTTGATTTCAGTGTTTTGAAGTGGGTGACAGTTTGAATGGTGTTCAATCACTGAAAGTTGGGAAGAAGAGGTGGTCTGATTGATCAAATCTCAGTCTTTGGATTTTGTGTTTAATTTCGGTTAATTAACTGTTTCTTGGCTGAAGATTTGCTGGGTTGAAGCTGATATTTGAAGCTGAAAACGGTGTTTTTGAGTTCAAGTGAGAGCTGAATTCGATTCGTGTTCTCGCTTTGAATCTACGAAACGAAGTTTGGTGAGTTGTTTGGAGTTGAAATTGGTGAGATTTGAGCTATGTATGGTGTTGGAGGCTCACAGGCAATTTCCAGTGACTCGAATCTCTTGTTTTCGTCTACTTTAAAGCATTCAGATGGAGAATTCGACAAGAACAGAGAGTTCGTGAATTCAGATCTATATCATCATCATCAAAATCAAAATCAAAATCATCAACAGAATCAGCAGAGCTCTGGTCTCATGCGGTACCGTTCAGCGCCGAGCTCGTTCCTGGCAAGCCTCGTCGATGGCGGTGGTGCCGAGGATTTTGTGAATCCTCATCAATCACCGGTTCCTGAATCGGAATCCATGTTTTTGAGGTTCATGTCCTCCAATGGCGCCGTTGATTCTACGCCACAGGATCTACAATATCCGACGGTTATTATTAAGAACGAGGTACCAGAACATGTAAACCAGTATTCCACTACTTCAACACAGATGATTTACCAAACATCCCCAGATCATCATCATCAGAATAGTGATTCGTTGTGTAGTCAGACGAATCTAGATGGATTGTATAAGGTTGGAAATGGTGGTACAGTTATGGAGAATCAAGTGCAGGGAAAGATTAGCAGCGCCAATTGCTCGAATCTTATCAGACAGAGCAGCTCTCCGGCGGAGCTTTTCTCTAACCTGAGCGTTGAAAATGGTATTACTTTTACTCCTCATTTTCTTGCAGTTGCTTGAATTTTAGAATTGATACTTTTTTTTTTTTGGTTTGGTGTGTACTTGAATGTTTATGGCCACATATAATTGGTAGTACAAAACAGATTAATAATTAGCTGGAAAGTTTAAAGAGTGTTTGAAACTTTTTGCTCCTCAAGAAGAGTTGACTTTGAGCTTGTGTTTGGATCTGAGGAAAGAATGAGTTGAAGGACAGGAAAATACCAGTGGCTAATACTAAGCCCTTTATGAGTTTTTTTTTTTTCAGTTGAGGTTTTTTTTTTTTTTTTTTCCTCCTTTCCAATTTTTGAATTGGCAATGCTATCAAGGAACATTGAATGCAAATTTATTGAAAAATAAATAAATAAATATATATGTCAAAAAAGAAAAAACTTAGCCTGGTAGAAGAACAAATTATGGGAATGAACAATGAAGAGTGTTGACAGTGAAGTTCATCATTTTAGTATTGTATTTGAGGAGCCCTAATTGATGGTAGTTTCAATTCCTTGTGTTTTTCTGCCATGATTATTGCTTTATGAATTTGTTGCTGAATATTTGTCATAAATGACAGGGTTTGCTGTTATGAGAGATGTTGGAAATTTTAGAGTGAGTAATGGAACCAATGGAAAAGCCAGTCCAACTAAGAGGTTGAATTACAATATAAACTTCTCATCTGGGCCGTCTTCGTGCTCGAGATTCATGCCTCAGATTGCTGAAAATGGAAATGAAAGCAGTAGTAGTCCAGAGAATGGGCAGTTGGGGAATGGTAATAGCAGTAATGGATTTTATGTACCCAGCTTTCAAAATGTTCCTTGGAATGAGTCTGGTTTCACTGGCCTGAAGAGGAAAAGAGACGGTGAAGAGAACTTCTCTGGTTTCAATGCATTGGAAAGTCAGGTAGCATTTGCTGATCATATGCAATTGTTTTGTCATTTGTTCAAATCATGCTTCTTTGTCATTAATTTTATTTTCTTGTCAGGATGGGGACTCTAGAATTTACACTACTGGTTTGACTCACCATTTGAGCTTGCCAAAAACTTCCGCTGAGATGGCCGCCGTAGAAAAGTTCCTGCAATTCCAACAAGATTCTGTCCCTTGTAAGATCAGGGCCAAAAGAGGTTGCGCCACACACCCACGAAGCATTGCAGAGAGGGTAAACTCTTCAGATATCATCTCTAACACTGTTTGGTTGGGGGATTTTGGGAGAGATTTGGGAAGGAAAAAAGAAAAGATAGGTGAAACTAGATGAAATGTAGATTTTTTTATTCCTATTTCATCTACCTTTTCCATTTCTCTTTCTAAATCCCTTCTCAAATCTCCCAACCAATCGCAGCTAAAGGACTAATTTTTTTATCATGTTTTTCCGATTCTAAGGGACTAATTCGATAAGCTTTTTGGGTTTTTGATTCCAGATGAGAAGAACACGAATTAGCGAAAGAATGAGAAAACTGCAAGAGCTTTTCCCAAACATGGACAAGGTAGATTTCACGATTCCAGTTGTGTTTCACATTGACTTCAAAATTATATAATTAGAAACTCAGTTTTTATTTTATTTTTTCAATGGCCAGCAAACAAACACGGCAGATATGTTAGATTTGGCAGTTGAGTACATTAAAGATCTTCAGAAACAAGTCAAGGTATGCCCCAAGAAAATACAAAATCACCCTTCAAATCAAACCACATGAATCTCCAACCAACTTTATCTTCCCTCATCAAAATTTCTTGCTTTTGTTGCAGACACTCACGGGCACTCGGGCAAAATGCACGTGTTCAAGTAAGCAGAAACAACTTTCAAATTCCACTGTGTGACTTGCTTGTGTACAGATAAAAAGGGAAAGATGGAAAGGAAAAAGACAGCAAAGCTAACTAATCCTTTGCAGTCCATTGATAAATGATATGTGGGACTGAAACAGAAAGCTTGTGTTATCTTTTTATCGAACAACCCAGATCAAGTAGATTAACCATCCCACCTATAATTCTACTTGTATAGCAATAATATGTAGCCCATGCTTAGATTGTACCTTATTTTATGGAATTTTGAATGCTTAGTTGAGAGGTTCAACCAACTTGAAATGATACTTGCCAAGAGAGAGCCTAGTGTAGATGTTGTGCTGATTGTAAAAATATGAGTTAGCTAGAAACTTGAGATGGGATAAGATGATTACTTTTGTGAATTATATCGCGCTAGTATTGTGCCAATATATGGCTGTACCGAAGAATTTCCATTGTGTATTTGGACCAAACTTGAGCCTAATTTAAGTTTGATTGATATAAGAGTACTTACGTATAGGTCCTAATAAGTGGACTTATTGTCTAATAAGTCTTATGAGAAAAATTTGTCAAAAAAAAATGTCATTAATTGTAAGTTTTAACAACAATTTATAAAAATTATGACAAAAAAAAGTCACTAATTGTCAATTTTTAGCGACGTATGGAAAAAATTGTCAAAAAAAAAATATTTTTAGCGACAATTTTACCAAGATTTATTTTCAATAAGATTTGATGGGAATTAAGTTTAATTATTAGGGCCTATTGGTAGTTTATCCTTAATATAATTTGAGTTAGAATAAGTTGGGGCTCAATTATTATCTATATGTTGTATAGGAAAATGACGTGTATATAATAATATGAAATAAGGCCAAGTTTGGCAACTCTTAAAAAATCTAAAAAGTGAAAAAGTCAATCCTATTTAAATCACATCATCTTATTTAAGTCACATTACCTCTTTAACACATCACTTCAAACTCAACCCAAACTCAACCCATATTTCATAAAAAGTCAAAAAATATACTTATTTAGTCTTTCCAAACTTGGCCTAAGTTATGTGTTATAAATGTGAGTGTGGCAACAAGGGTAGAATAATCTCTAGAGATTTAAATTCAAGCAAAAGAAATCAAGACAACGTGTTTAAGGTTCTTTTGCCTCAACACTTTTAACATTGAATGTAAAAAATGAGAACTAATTGAGGGGAATTTAAGGTGCCAGGTAGTAAATGAGCATATAAAACTTTTATGCTGTGTTTGGTTGGAGGATTTTGGGAGGGATTTGGAAAGGGAATGGGAAAGGGAAAGGAAAAGGGAAAAGGTGTGTGAAACTAGGTGAAATATATGTATATTTTATTCATATTTCGCTTATCTTTTCTATTTCTCTTTCCAAATCTTTCTCCAAATCTTCCAACCAAACACAGTATTAGTTAATTAATAAATATCTCAATTACATGAGGAGAACCGAGTACATTTAATTGCTACTACTATTCATTCGAAGCAAAATTACTAGTAAACAGTAAAGCAAGCTATAAAATCTACTCCTACCTATGGTTATGGCTAATCCTATTAAATGGAAAGATAGGGAAATGCTACCATTTGCACCCCTAACATATGGTATGCACCTTATAAGGTCTTGTTTAATTAACAGAATTAAAGGTGAAAAGATTAATAATTTCATGAATTAGTGTAGGATTAGTTATCCAATTAAATTAGTGAGATAATCATTTATTATATATTCATTTTTTTTTTTCATAATTGAAATTATGAACCCCTAACCCCTTTCAATATTAAAAATTTGTCAATTTTGTCGGATTGAATGTCTGCCATACATGTAATTTAGTTAATAAAATTTACAATCAAACACGGGATTGTGAATCTATGGACTAACATAGATTCACAATCCCAAACCTATGCTACAATCCTTCTAATCAAACATATCATAAAAAGTCATAATTTTTATCACAAAATAACATAACTTTTCTCACCATAAAAAATATAACTTTTTCTCATCACAAAAATATAACTTTTAACTATAAAATATTCATAACTTTATCATTTGTTATTTTGGGATTTACACTGTAATTTCGTCATTTGTAACTTTTTTTTTTTTTAAAGATAAGCCAAAAAAAAATTTATTGATGAAACTCGGAGTATAAGTTTAAGAGAAATATATCAATAAAAGAGGTGAGTACAAAGAATATCATAGTTAGACTAGACGATCCCATCTAAGTTGGCACCGCGAAGCAAGCCCAATCATATGCTAGTACACCACCAAGTTGTAAGAAACCAACCAATAACAAACAACCAAGCAATACACAATAGAGAGCAAAAAAGAACATGAAGCACAATCCCAATGTGGTAGCAGCTGCCTTCCGTGCTCCAGATCCACCAAACACTTCATAATTAATCTTCCCATTAATCTTTTCATGGCAAACAAAAGGAACCATAGTTCCAGCCCATCTAAGCAGCATACATTAAGGCACCAAAACTTCAAACCAACAAGCAGAGCAACAGCAGTTTGGAATTCAAACCAACTACTTGATTGACTACAGACGAAGAATAATGTCATCGATAGAGTAATCCTTGAGCTTGGAATTGGCTTTGACCCAAAAAGCTACTCTGAATTTTATGAGATCAAGAACAGATTCCCAATTTGGTTGCACCTTTTCAAAAATGAGTTGGTTCCGAACATTCCAAATGGTCCACATAATTGCGAGTGGGATGGTTTCCCAAATGGTTCAAAATTTCTTCTTGACCACTGACCCTTGTCACCAATTAAGCATTGTTCTAACAGACCCTGGAGTTTCCCATTCCAAGCCCCACCAATCAATACATGCAGCCCAGATTTTCCACAATACCATACACTACAAAAATTCATGACCTTTATCACAAAACATCGCAACTTTTCTTACAATGTGCTCCCTTTTAGAGTGCACATTGCAACATTCCCCGAAATATAAGATTGGAATGAAAGAAATAGAATTCTAATTTGATGGACTTTGATTCGGGGTTACTCTCTTCATTTGAACAACTATTTATAGATGCAGTGGTTCATGTAATCTTTCAGCAACCGTCGAAGGAGCAACAATTGTTTCGCACGTTTCTGTGATCTTCACCCGTGCTCACTTTCTTTGTTGCGAGTTTCCCTTCTTTTATTAAAATTCAAATCTCTTTCAGCAACCATTGAGTTTCAACTGCATTTCCTCTAGCATGTAACTCAAGTGCTAATATGTTCCTTCAATTATCCTCCACATGTACCTCTGGGCCCATCTACAATTGTGTACAAAAATGTGTGTGGACTGCCATGTGCCTAATTCCCATTGGATGATTTAATTTAGGCACGAACACACCCTGCACCAGCATAATACAGAATTGATTGTGCTGCTAGAGTAAATACAACTCTTCATATCTCCCATGAACTTGGGCTACATGGACTACTATGGTTGCCCATTACCTTCTTAACCCTCATGAACCTTTCATCTTCACTGTAATGGACTTTTGGTGATCATAAATATGCCCAATGCTTTAGGGGAAATTCTACTTCCAATCACCAATTCCTCTCACTCCACACACTCTTTAGACAATTCATCATTCCTTATCCAAATTCTAACCTCTAGCACTTGTGTTACTCTTTTATCTCCATCTCCGATGGTTGAAAACTGCTTCCATGATGGTTGAAAACTACTTCCATGAAAGCAGAGGAAAAACTTCCAAGTTACTATGGAATGCAGTTCCACATCCTGAGCAAATGCTTACTAACCTCTTGGATCAACATATCCTGATTCTACTAGCTAGGGACGATCATATTCCCCTGAAATTGGCTACAATACTTCTTCTAGTTGGGAAAAGTGGGTGAAAACTGAAGATCTCATCCTTATTACTCTTTGAAGCTCAGTGACTTGCCCATATTTTCCAATTAACTAATCTCTTAGCGTCAACTAAAATCTGATTTACACTTGGCATTCTTCCTTTCTTCCTACTAAATCCCTTCGATGCATCCTCCAAAGGTACGACCTTTGAACTGCATCCTGACATTTTCTTGTGCCAATCCCAACTAGACTTGTCTAATTGGTTGGAATTTGTAGACAAAAAATTCTTTCCAATTGGTTTCAAAGATGATCTGCCGCCACCTCTTTTTCCTCCCAATCCAGAATTGGTCTGCGAACTCAAATCTGCAATTATGTTCATTCTCCTTACCACCAATTTGCCCATTTCCCTGTGCTCATCAAAGGTAAAAGGCCTAAATTGTTGTTGTTGTTGTTGTTGCTTTCTCATATCTCCCATTCGAAACACTTCATGAGCAATCCCCCACAAAAACTTTTTGTGAGCTAATGACATCCTTCCAGACGACATGGACTAAATACCATTGCTCATATTGAAGTTTGTATGTTTTTAGTTTAACTTCCACGCCTTTCGCTCTAGCATCAAGCTTCTGATTAGGACCATAAGGTGTCAAATACGAGGCTTTAAACCTTCTTGATGATTTTGATAAGTTCGAAGCAGATTTTCCTTGTTCTCCAATGTTCAGAAATGAGAGGTGTATGCTTACAAGAAATGCATGGAACGCCAAGATTGACGGAAGCTGAATTTCCAAGCATAGGCCCAAGGAATGCATGCAAGACTAAACAGGCTCAACTAGAAAAATTAGACTTGATAAAGTTAAGGGAAACACCGAAGAATTGGTTCCATTTTTCTGAATTCAATTTTTTAAAAATTGAGTTTTTTTGTTTTTCATTTTTTTTTTGAATTTTTTTTTGAATTTTTTTTAGTTTTTAGATATACTTAAAATAAATACAATTAAAAAGTATAATATTTGTGATTTTTTTTATAAAAAAAATTCATTAAATACCAAAAATATAAAAAAAAAATATGAAAATTCAGTACATTTTCGTATTCTTGTGTACTTATTGATTTCTTAAAATATTTTTTTACAAATATTTTACTTTTTAAGTACATATAGTTAGATATGTTGGGAGAAAACAAAACAAAAAACCAATTCGAAATATCCGAATCCGGCACAAAAATAGCGGAAGTAGTTTATTCTCCCTCTTTGTGTGAACCTATTAGGAAGTAATTTAATAGAGCACAATATATTCTGAAAATAATCTGAAAGCGATGATCCAATAATCACACAACAAAGCGACAACAAATTTTTAACGTGGAAAACCTTCCCAATGTGGAAAGGAAAAACCACGGGACCGTAGTCCACCAAATATCTCCACTATAAACAAATAATGGGTATACAAGAGTTCTCTCTAGATAGAACTAGAGGCAAACAATCAAGAACAACTTACAAATAAGCTTCCTTGGCAACCAAAGATCAAACTACAAAGTTTAGGAAAAATCTCACAAAAAACGGTACTGTTCACGGGCCAAAAACCAGCAGTAGAAAACTCCAAATCTGATCTCCATGCTACATTCATTCTACAACATGAGTTAGGAGATATGACCGAAATGAAATAAGATTTGTCTTATACAAGTAAATGCCTTAAAGGCAACAAATTTCCAAGGCCTTGCCCGGTTACAACAAAAGTTTTACTTTAAAATTTCTTTTCCTTAAATTTTTTTTTTTTTTTTTTTTTTTTTTTTTGAACATTGAGAAAAGTTATGTCAAATTTTTATTTTTATGTTATAAAATTTTAGAATGTTATTATAAAAAAAATACCATATACACTCATTTAAAAGTACATGGGACAACTAAACTAGGGAAAGTTAGCCTATCTCCCTTTTCACTTTGACACAGGAACAAATCAAACTTGAACAAGCATCGGTAATTTTGGTTATATCTGTTTGGAGAGACTAGATTGGGTGGGATTTACATTTTTAGAACGATTAGTCTTGATAATATAAATCCTTTTGAATTATGTATCTTATTATATGTTGGGATTAATATTTTTAGAACAATTAGTCTTGATAATATAAATCCTTTTGAATTATGTATGTTATTATATATGTTTGAATTGACTCATAATTAAATTAATTAATCTAAACCTTACTTTAATCCTCCATTGTGTATCTCATTTCCTTTTTGAGATTCAACAATCTCCATCGCGAAAGATATCTTAGCAACGCATGAATTATTTTGTCCGAAAACAATAACAAGAAACATGTCTTTTTTTAACTTAACCTTGTGGAGGTAAAGTGTAATGTATAATTCTTTTCTTTTTGTCAATCAATAGGAGAATAATTACAAATATAAAAAATATTTATATCATCAAATAAATTATTAGTATCCAATAACTAGAAAGTCAATAAAACTTAACAAACCCACCAACTACGACTAATTATATACGATCCCCATAATGATATCAAACTTTTCTTTGTAAGAGTTGAATTTCAAATCTCACACTATAACATAGGGGTGTGCACGATACAATTTAAAGACAAAATTATAAATCAAATTGTGAATGGCGGATTAACAAATAACTAAACCTTGGTTTGAGCGGTTTTAATTTGTTAGTATATTTAAGAATAATCGTAAACAATTATTAAGCATTTACATATTTACGTAATATTTTTCATATATATAATACTAATTTGCAAAACAATCCACAACTTAAATCACTCTTACATAGATTTTTACTTTGGCATTCTATTAGAAAGGAAAAAAAATGTATTAATTATAGCAGAGCAATCCAATGGGGGATTTGGTGATAGCCCCCTCACTATTTAATTTGTCTTTCAAAAGGACAAGAATTATATAAGTACTTTCAAAACCCCCTAATATTTTAGAACTTGTTTCTTTTACTATATTACCTTCATATCTATCAGCTCTCCTATTAAGTCATCTTCACTATATATTTCAGAGTAAAATTTTACTCTGTATGAAAGTAAAATTTTACTCTGTATGAAAGTAAAATTTTACTTTACTTTGACATTCTATCAGAAAGGAAAAAAAATGTATTAATTATAGTAGAGCAATCCAATTTTAAAAGTACATTATAAATTTTAAATCGTATACGATTGATTAGCGAACAAATTAGTATATATTAAATGATTTTAACAAATTAAGCGATACTTTATATAGTCTAACCACAAAAGTATACATAATCACTTAGCCAAATGCATTAATTTTAATGCAATGTACCCTTAAAAGATAAAAATGTTTGAAATTATTAAAAAAAAAAATTCCTAATTTAATAATCAAATTTTAATTTGTCACAAGCACATTTCATTTAGCATTTTTTCTTAGAAAAAAAAAAAAAATTCACATGCGAAAAGAGTTAGCTCGTCGGGGGACGCACACAGTCGCGCGGTTTTCTCCTCCCACTCTCTCTCGGACAAGACAACCTATTCTTTTCCTCCACTTTTCTCCCCCAAACCCTAACCCCCTCTCTTTCTCAATTCTTGCTACTAGCGTATATTTTACCCTATAACACTTTTGCACGTCTTTCATTATCTGCTCTGTATCACTGTCTCTCCTCCACGATCGGAGCTGTAGATCATCCGTAGAATCAGCACCCGATCTGCCTCGAGCTTGATCGATCGGGTGTTCGATTCATTTTCTCTTTTTTCATTCCCTTCGAATTTTGGAATTTAGAGGTTTGATTTGATTTGATTTGACTTTGGTTGAGAAGAGCACCGAGAGAGATGTCGAATTTGTATGGTGATTTCAATCAGAAGATCGATTACGTGTTCAAGATCGTACTGATTGGAGACTCCGCCGTCGGCAAATCTCAACTCTTGGCTCGTTTCTCGAGAAACGAGTTCAGTCTGGATTCCAAGGCCACGATTGGTGTTGAGTTTCAGACTAAGACGATTGTCATCGATCACAAGACCGTTAAGGCTCAGATTTGGGACACTGCTGGACAAGAAAGGTAATGCCTTTCTTTTTATTTATTTATTTATTATTTTTTATTTTTTTCTCAACTTGTTTGTGTAGTTCGTTTCTTTTTGATTGAAGACATGGAATAGTTCGTTGATTGCAATGTTATTAGTCTGTTTTTACTTCATTTTTTGTTGACTAATATTTTTTTGCCTAATTTTTGTTGCATTTGCGTTTGAGTGTTGGTATGAGGATGGAGTTTTAATTTATTTGACTTACAATACAACGCAGAGAAGCCTGTTGCTAATAACGGGAGGAACTTCTAATTTAGTATCTCTTCCACTTGATTGACAATGGGATGAGGTGGAAACAAATGGAAATATGGTAACAAAAATGTGGTTGTTGTGATAGAATAATTTTAGTAAATTTCAGTTGGTAATAATAATGTTGTTTCCAATGTCATGGCATTAGATATTTTATCAAGTGTAACTTCTATGTTGAGAATCGCAATGTGAAATGTTTACGGGAAGACTAAGGACTACATTATTTGTTGACATGTTTTGTATGTGAAGTATACAAGGATGATGTAATTGCAACCAGGGCCAGTTAACGGGAAAAAGGACTTACACTCTCGAATATTTATTAGTTGGCCTGCTTGAAAGTACTTAAACCTTTTGCTGATTAAACACTTTAAATGTGAAACTTTAATGCTGAGAGTGAGAGAGACCAAGTTTGGAGCCTCTTCAAAGAGGTGAAGGCACTTAAATCCTTATGTTCCAAGTTAATGCATTTTTTTTTTGCTACCCTAGTTTGATTATTCATGATACCTAATGCATACCACCTGACCCAATTACAAAGGTTTTTAGGCAGTCTCAATTATATTTTTGAATTCTATAAAGATCTCCATAAAAATCCTTCATACTTGATTAAGAAAAAATCCTACTCCTTGGACCCAGGAGCATGCATTGGCCGTCCAACGCATCAAACAACGCTCCAAATATTTACCTGTATTATGTTTTCCTATCCCTGCTGCTTACAAAATTGTTGAAATAGATGCCAATAATATTGGCTATGGTAGCATTCTCAAACAATGCTATCGAGGTAAAGAACAATTAGTTCGTTTTACTTCTGCTATTTGGAAAGGTGCTCAAAAATGCCACTCCACAATTCAAAAAGAAATTTTATCTATTGTTTCTTATATCCAAAAATTTGAATTTGATTTATTAAATCAAGAGTGGTGATAATTGACATTGACTTTGTATTGACCTAATTATACTAAAGCTATGTCGATTCACAATAAGTATTTGAAGAGTTGTTGAAGATATTTGCTGTTGGCACCTAGAAAGAGTGGCGTTTCTGCTACTTTTGTTTTCTACTAGTTGTTGGCTAGATGTTTCCCGTCAGTATAGGAGAGAGGAGTGAGTGGGACAGGGAAAGAGAACTGTGGGCCTTAACCTGTCTTTGCAAATGCTATAGGCAGTTCTAGGCTCATAGCACATTAATATGTGCTCTCTCTCTCTCTCTCGCGCACACGCAAGTGCACGCGGGCTGTGTGTGTGTGTGGAAAAGATATCCAGAACTTAATTAATTCAGGGTGAAAATTTTATATGCTTATGACTCGTGCTAAGCATAGTTAGAGTACAGATCTGTACAACTGAGTGCCTTGCCTTCCTAGTTACTGATTGAAGTTGGACTATTTTCTCTTCATCCGCTTAATCCTAGTAGTTAAGATTGATGACTGTGCAATTCCTAACTGCACTAGTGTTTTTATGAACATTTGGTTATGCCTTATCCACTAAATGGGGAGATTGAAGCAAATGTTTTTGTGACTATGAGAATACGGAAAAGTGTTTCCAAGCTGTTCTCTATCAAACAAATGGAATTTCCGTGGAGGTGTTGTAGGGCCAGATTATAGATTTTTTTGTTTATCTTATATAAGGCCAGATTATAGAATCTTGAGAAACAAGATAAGATTCTCATCAATGAACTTCACAGAACTTTGTCAATTATTTTGATTAAAAATTCAGAACCTTTATTAGATGGTAGTCATGTGTTGATCTAGTGAGAAGGGCAATAATGTTTAAGTGAAAGTACTCACAAAAATAAGCTAGTTACCTTCAGAAGCAAAAAAGTGCTACTTTGTTGCTTGTATGGACATATGAATTGTTTCTTGTGCGTTGTATGCTTACTTTTTGAAATGTTGTGCCTTGTCTTGATCCTTTGGAAATCTCTTGATGTTTCCTCTTCTTAAATATTGCTTCTTGGTCTATGTTACACAAACTCTTCAAAATAGATCAAGTACATGTATCGGACACTTGATATTCAGATAAGTGTATGTGATGTGTCTAACAGTTCCCACCAGATATGCGTTTAACAACCATATTCACCAACTCAATTTCTTAAGTAATTATATTTAATACTGTTGTTATTTGTATTTTTCATTGCATAATTAATGTAAAATGAGTTAAGTGCCTTTGTTGGGACTGTCACATAAAACATTATTTTATGGCTGAAAATAGATGGGAAAAAAATGGATATTTTTTTTGCCTAGTTCACATATTATTCAATTAGAGATTTGATGGATCCAACCTTTAGATATACAATCTATGTTACATGGACTCGGGTACGGATGTCGGGTGCGGGTATGTATCTAGAGGTCGGACTCATCAAATCATAAATTTAAGGATACGCGGACTTGGCAAAAAAATGTCATATTTTTATATTTTTAATCTAATATGTGAGATAAAATGGTATTATATTTAATTTATAGTGTCAAAATGACATTTATAGCAATTACACAACAATATGTACATATAATAATAGTGTTATATACAATTATATAAGAAATATTCGTTGAAAAGTATCCGACACATATCCCATACCCTTGTCCGAGTGTCGAGTGTCCGACACGGGTATTTGATTTATTTTGAAGAGTCCATGTAACATAGTATACAATTGCACCCAATAGCCGTACTGAGAGTGCATGTAACTTAGATCCTAGTCACACAGAAGTTTTCTTTGATCTTAGTTTGACTTCTTAATGTGTTTGTTGAAGTTTTGACATATATAGCATGGTATAATTTCCATATAGAAGATAGTCTTGTTTAAAACTTTTAGAATTTACTAAAATAAGAGATTTTTTTGTGGTGTGAATTTTACTATGAGGTTGTTGACCTCCTTAGGATGACCAGTGTTTCCAACTTGCATGCATGCTTGATGGATCTTTTTCGTACCAAAAATAAATATTAAAAACCAAGTAGAAAGCACTACTCTTTAAAATAGAGGTCTAAGAAGCACGGACACATGACACGATACGGATACGACACGGACACGCCGACACGTTAATTTTTAAAAAATACAAGACACGACACGTGGGGGACACACATGAAATATGCAATTTTATATATTTATTATATATTATATATATGCACACATCATTCAAAGATAATAAAAAATGTAATATGATACTAATTCCCATAAATTTATATGCTTTTTTGTTTTATTATTGTATCTTAAGTTGTCTTGTTTAAACTTATAATTAATTTCACATGTGTCCAATTGATAGACACATACGTTTATGCGATTGACACGTGTGTCCTCCAAGTGTCCAAAGAGTGTCTAGGTCTTTAAAAAAAATTAAAAAATAGGACACGTTTTGAAGAGTGTTGGACACGTGTTGTAAAAGTGTCCAAAGAGTGTCGGTGTTCGACACGGATGCATCACCTTCTTAGAAGTGTCCGTTCTTCTTAGATAGTGGTTAAAACCAGGTATCGTTCCAACGAGGACAAAGAGGCTAAGTGTACATTAATTTCATATTTATTTCTAAATTAATTCAACAAAGATTGTTTAGACGGAGATAGCTAAACTACTTAAGAACTAAAACTAAACGAAAGTAATGTAAAGTTGAGTTTAGGTGTGGAAGTGGCAGTCTTAAGAGTTATTGAATTCACAACCAATCTTCTAATTATGATTTATTGATGTACTTCATGAAAAATTACTATTATGATGATAATGATGTATTGTGGCTCCAAGTTCCAACATCTTCAAGAATATTCATACATTCGAATCACGGATGTGAATCATCATCGGCTATTACAAAGCATCTACGCTAAACTACGGTCACAGGCACATCTTTTCTTCTCTAGGTATGATTCATTCGACAATTTCAATGTACAAGAAATACCATTGTAGAACTATGTATTTAAAATCATAGAAATCAAATACATATGAAGTTTAATAAAATTTTTGATTGCGTTAAAACTCTAAAAATATTATACAATCATCATCATAACCATCAATTTCATAAAGAAAATACAAACCCTAGCTACTTGATTGAGGTTTCATCAAATCCTAAAATATAGTGTCTAGCCGCTCATGGTTGTAGAAGAAATCTCCATGTAGATGGTTATTCCATCTTCCAATCCTTGCTTTGCTCTTTGGACTTCTTGTGGAACTCTCACCTCTTCCAAAACCAAGCTCTTAATAACATGTAACATTCTCTCTCAAAGAAGCCACCAGCTTCCCTTGTATAAGTGCTGAGAATAATCCTAAAAATATAAAAAATTTGTAACAGGTCCTGCTTGAGCACGTTGCATCTGTGCTTGAGGACACGAAGGCAGACTCTCCTTTTCTTCAACAACTTAAGTGCTCGAGCACTCGGACTCTATGCTTGAGCACGATAAGGCAGACTTGTTTGCTCTTTTTAACTTTCAAAACTTCATCTCCTTGGCTTGATTTGGGCTTCAATGCATATTCCATCTTGCTTTTAAAAGCTCCAAATTAATCAGTGTGTTTGGTTTCAGTTTTCTAAAAATTAAGTTTTTTGCTTTTCGTGCTTTTTTGTTTGTAGTGAATATTTTTAAAATTTTAAGTATTTTTTTTTTACTTAGATATATATTACTTAGATGTATCTAAAAAGTAAAATATTTGTAAAAAAATATTTTAAAAAATTAATAAATACACAAAAATACAAAACAATATATTGAATTTTTGTATTTTGTATTTTTTTTTATTTTTGGTATTTAGTGGATTTTTTAAATATTTTTTTCACTA